ACCTTTCATTTTAAGGACTGCATGTTCTGGTAGATCTTTTCCCTCTACTTCTGCTTTCTTCTGTGTTCTCTGCTTGTAGTCTTCATCTTTTGGACAAACTACAACAGCTTTTCGTTGGAAACCTGCAAACAGGCACATTTTTCTCCTCTGGGCAGCAGCAGATACATTTGTCTTGTAAAGAAAAAAAATAATAAGTTTATAACCTTAAAAATTAATTCCATACCAAACCAAGTATCAGTAAACATTTTTTCAACTTCTAAGCTACAACTCACCTGATCCAGAATGAAATTTCGTTTCTTGCGGGCAGCAATCTCAATAAACTTTCCAAGACACTGTGGGGCTCTCTGCAACAGTGTGTTCAGTTTTCCAGTATCTGCCATTTGTTTTTTAAAACCTGCCACCTATTTTTAAAATTTAAAATTTTATTTGAATTTGTGAATAAGCCACATGTGTTTAATACCAGCTTAGATCTATATGGGAAGCAACAAGTAACACTTTATAATTTAAATGTTTGAACACTGTACTTCCCTTATTGCTATCAATAAGTAGAACTTTTTTTATCATATTGTAAGACCACTGAATTCTTTTCACTGCTAAAAAATAAAAAAAAAATCTATGAAAAAGATGACTAAGCCTATCAAGTAGAATGCAATTTCCCTTACAGATTGAGAGCTAATGGAAGTAACCCAATAATTTTGTTTTGTCCAACTCCCTAAGATATTAACAAAATACATTTTAAAAAAGGGGGAATACCTTCAATGTCTTCTTAAATAAGTATTAAGGTTTTGGTTTTTTTTAAGTGCTAGGGATTGACAATAACCAAAGCCTTGCGCATTCTTGGCAAGGACTCTCACTGAACTAACTGTGGTCCACTACCCTTTTTGGGCCTCCTTTAAATGCTGAAATCAGAACCAACATTTTTACTTACCATCATTTTATCCATAATGGTATTTGTTCCAAGAATGTTGTATTTACCAGGATTTTCAGCTGCATGTTTAGTAACCCAGGTAGTTTTTCCAGCTCCCGGCAAGCCAATCATCATAACAACCTGCAAATGGAAAAAAATTTCATTTTTAAGTACATCCAAATTTTTTAGACAAACACATCAAGATTTGTTCATGGAAGGTTTACTATTATCTATAAAGGCAAAAGAAAAATCATTGGCTGAGAGCAATAGGTATAACATGAAAGCAAATAAAACACTTTTGTCAAACAAAAGCAATCTTCAAATGCCACATTTACAAAAAATAAAATGACTCACTTCACAATCTTTCTTCTCTTCAGGCCCCTTTGGTCCTCTAACTCGATCCTCTAGGGGGACATTCTGGATAAAAGTATAGTCTTCAGGTATTGGAAAATATGGCTTTTCCTTCTGACCAAAATTAAATTCAACTGCACAGTTATGGCAGAGAACATGTGGAAAGAGTGGTCGTCCAGCAAGAACTTCCTTACTAATTTTGAAGGCAACGCCAAGATCTTGTCCATTCTTGGCATAGGAGAGCTCTACTTCATCGTTTTCAAAGTTCTGTTAAATAGAAGAAAAAAAATTTACCAGTTTGAATCTGCTTCCTATAATCTTTCAAAAAAAAAAAAAAAAAATCAAAATTCAAATAAGGAGTAAGCTTACCCTTAGAAAATTTTTATAGGTTAAATGCTAAGAGCTTTTTGAACATTAGAATGAAACACAGAATCAAAAACATTGCCTCAGATAACGGATTAGATTTTACAGGCCTATTTTATGTTTAATAATTTGTCAGAACGCTTCCTTAAAAATTTCCCTTACCTTTCCAGTTTTCAACTTTTTCTAGTCTTTAACCCAAAACCAGTGCATGCATTTTTATCTATCATACTAACAGCTGATCCAGACCTTAATTTCTTTTAGAATTTCTAAACGATAATTTCACTTATATAGCGAATTTTAGCAATAACTTACAGCAAAACATGTAATAACATCATTTTCATCAAACTTCTCTCCATAATCTTCTGTCTCACAGTTGCATGTTTTAATTCCTTTTAGAGAATACCCATACGAAAATTCTTCTTCACCTAAGAAAATAACTTGCATGAAACTGATGTTTTTTAAACAGTCCAAAGCCCCACTGTTTTTATTACTTAACAGGTAGAGCACAAATAACCTAACAATCTTCAACTTATCTACCAGATGTAGAATTGAATACAAATTGAATATAAATATATAAATGAAACTGAGTAATGGATAAAATTTAACCATGTCCTACATTTTTTAAAAATCACTGATAAAAGCTAAAATTCAGCTTGTCTGCTACATGCTAGCATTACCCATTTGTAAAATACTAACAGAATGGATAACTATAGTTAGAAAGCCTTCTAAATCTTTTTCTGAAATCAGACTCTAATCAGAGCCCTCAGTACTCAAATGGAAACTTTACCAAGTAACATTCCACTTGTAGTCAGTGACCAGCCAATTCGAACTTCATGAATGTCAATATCTTTTGTATATAAATGCCTTACAGGAATCTTCTCTGTAACCTGAAAAGTGAAATCATTAAACCAAACTGTAAATCAAGAAAGATAAACTCCTGAATCCTGACTTCTCTCACTTGGGGAGAAGACACCCAAATCTCCTTCTTTCCCTACTCCCTATCCTTTATTTATAAGAACTTTAAAAGTGAGCACTTTGTAACTCAGAGCAAAAAAGGTTTCAATTAGCTAAGAGTTTTTCTAAAAATTTGTACTTTAAAATTTAGCTAGTTTTTTAAAAAAAATCCTTGGTAGCTTTTTCATGTATGATTTAAAAAGCCAAGATGGTGGGGGGCACACCACAAAATTGCATTTACCTTCATCTCAAAGCAGACTTTGCCTTTTGACACACCATAAGATGCCCTTCCTCCAGCCCAAAGAAAAGCAAAACTCTCCATAGTAAGAGAAGAAGCACTGAGGCGATCTCTTGATATTTTAAAATGTAGATCACAATTATCTGTAATTATATAAAATACCAATTATTCCTTTGACATCTAATATATGTATTTCTGCTATGTAGACAAAATTTGGTTAAGTTTTTACAAGTATTTTAATGCTGCATATAAGATTTTATATATCATGCTGTTCCAACTTTCAATTTAAACCCCACTCCCACCAGTCACTTGTCAATTATGTACTAGAATAAACTTCCTATTAAATTAACCAAGGCTTAATGTGTTTTAAGCAAAATTGAGACAATGTGACAATACATACCTGCTCTGCTCTTTACCTTGATTTAGAGGCAAGCAGTAGAGGATAGCAGAAAGTGAAGCATGCCAGAACCAGGTAGAATTTACCAGTGCCACAATAAAACTGAAGGGAGGCCACGGCCAATGTTTTAAAATTAAGAGTATGAGCTGTTGATCCTGCACTTTGTAACTTAACACCCGGGTTCCAGGTCCTTAATTCTTTTCTACAACTTGTGCATCAGACAGCCTGAACCCACTAACCTGGTCATCTAAAGGTTTACTACAGCATTTTAGGCCCCCTTGCAGGAGCTTTCCAGTTATAACAATTAGAGATTAACCACTTCCTGGATTATCCAAATCGTCTTTTACCTAGCTATCTTTGGGTCACTAGCTCATTAACATGTATTTTCTCAAGAGTTCTCCCTTGACAAGACAACTAACCTCAATTTAGAAAGCAGTTTTATTTAGTTTTAATTGATCAGAGTTTAATCTGTTTAGAATTCTCCTTAAATAAGCTTTGTTCCTAAAATTTCTTATCATTGATATATAATTAAACAAATTGTGTCTACACCCAGTATCACCCTTAATAAACTGATACTCCTGGTAATAGGCAATAAAAACCCTATTCCTATGCAATGACATTACCCCTTCTGAATCACTGCTTCAGCACCTTGCCAATTCCTACCAATTTTGTATTTAAGCAACTGAATTTGACATAAAACTTTCAATTCAACTACTTTGCAGTTTTAAGACTCAACTACCTGTAAGGGGTATTCAAAAAGAAATCAAGTTTCACACTTAACACAATCCACAATCAAGGAGACATGAAAAATCTAAGCTTCAACTCCTCTTAGCTACCAGAACAGGTTATTACCTTACCTCCTCCTCCTCAAGAATTTATTTCTACCCTTCATTCTATTAATCTCAAAGAGTTGTGCATTCTGACCAAACACTAAGTCAATATAATTCTTTTTTATAATTAAAAAATGCAAGTCTGACAGCCAAGGCCCACTTAAGAGGTTTGCAATACTTCCTCATACTCAATTGCAGCCCAACTGGGTAAAGTAGCAGTATTTACAGCGCTGCCATTGATACCATTCGCTGCTGAAGAAAGCTAGTGGCCCAGTGATAGCCCACTGCTGCTGCCCCAGGTCTTTGGAAGAAATCAACTTATGTTAAAGCAGCAGCTACTGAACTGGAATTGAGAACAAAAGAGCAGTTATTGAAAAAGTAATATTACAATCTTTTAGAATAGGGAATATACTTGTGTGCTAATGGGAAAAGTCATTAGTAAATATTTAACAAACCCAAATAGCTCACTTAATATAATTCCACACACAAAAGAAATTATCGTAGAAGCCTTATAAGGACAGTGAAAAGTAGTTTTTACAATTTTGTTAGTCAAGAATTGACATTAAGAATGAGTTTAAGTCATAAAAAGTTATCAAATTGCTACAACCTATTAAATTATCAATGAAAGTGTAGTCATACTAAACATTAAATACTACCAGAATCCAAAATAAAAACCATTATCTTCCTGCCTTTAGAAAACACTAACCTAAGCTTCTTAAGTTCAACATTAAGTTTTCTAACATTTTGGAACCAAAAAAACCACTGTATTCAATAACTGGGGGCAGGAGGGATAAGAGTATCAGCTTCACTTACAAGTATCAAGACAAACCACTGTGTCATCGAAGTGCTCATCTTCTTCTTCAACAGGTGGCTGAGGAGACTTGGCTCTGAAAGACAGAATTGTCTCCTGATACAGCTTTTCCTAGCAAAGCATGAAGAATGGGTACAAGCAAAACTAGGTTCGTATCCTGTACCTGCTGTACTTGTTTTCTTCAATGTACTCAAAATATCCTCGGCCATGATCTTCTCGAGGTCTTTTAACACCTCTCTTTTTATCTCCGCCTTTCTGTTCTGTTTTTCCGTCTCCTATAACACACAACACTCTTTGAGATGCCAAGTGGCCAAAATATTTCTTAGAAATAGAATCAAAACAATACAAAATAACCCACCACCTTTTCTGTTTCAAGGCGCAAAAGTCCTCGACTTCACCCTGTTATTTTTTTTAGGACCTTTTAATCGACGAACCAAATGTGAATTCAAAGAACAATCAGCTTGGAAATGGACTGGAGATTAGTGACGCAGTCTAAAGACGTTACTAATTTTACCAGTCTAATAGACAATTCGAGAAAGCCAAAGAAAAAGCGCGGCCCAAGCCCGGAGCCCACGTGCATCCCGACGAGAGTTCAGGAAGGGGGGAGGGGCCAAGCGGGGC